TCTCTGCAGTTTGCAGGATCCGATCTGTCCTATTGTTTCCTTTGTATATTGGAATGGCTGTTCAAGATCTCAACAGAGCAGGGCTATAGCATGTTTGTATCATCATGTTAAACAGCTGGGTTAAGTGTTTTAGAAGCAGTCTCCAGCGAAATAGATATGTTCTTTTGTGATTTGGTCCGGTCCTGGTGATTTTCTCATTTTTAACCTTTGTTTCAGTCGTTTCAGTTCGTATATTTCTATGTCTGTCTTAAGTATAGGATCATCGTCCAGAAGTGGTGTTGTTTATTCTAGAGTCCGTTTCAGCGCGGAAGTCGTTGTCGAACTCCAACCGGTCAAGATGTGATAATAAATCTGCATAGTAGTCTTATTGGTGGAGGCAAGGAGTGTACAGACAACCGATATGTCAGCATAGTTGGGTCTAAATAGCCTTACACCAACTACTCCGTGGTTCACTGTGACAGGTGTTCAGTATCATCGTCACATAATCCATCACCACTAGCGGGAGTATGGGAATTATACTCCATCTCTTTGGAATATGTTGCCTGTGTATCTATGGATGCTCCAGACTGCATACTACCGTTTTCAGTAGTTTGGGGGGATTTACGCATTGGAGGACTTGTTCGTGTTTCAGAGAACAATAATCTATCTCTCTTATTCAATGAACTCATTTTCCATTAATATCACTTGTCTTACAGGAGATTGTGTCGATGCTCGTTTATAGTTGATCTCTAAAGAGGCTGATCCGTGACTCATTTGATATACTAATAAGCTGATATCATGCATAGTTTTAGGTCAGTGGTATGAAGTATTGCGTCACAAATATTATTGAGTGAGTGAGTATGGTTTTACGCCGCTTGTAGCAATATTCGAGCAATATCTGGACGGGGACTCAAGAAATTGCACCCATGATGGCATCGCAGCTGTGTCTTCGGGTGACGAGCGAAAGTTTTAACCACTAGGCTACCTGACATCTCCTGCACGAATATTTCGTCGCTTAGTATTTGTATGATGTCGTGACTGGTTCTTGATGTGTGAACATTACTAGCGGTTTACAAGATGCAGACTAACGGTAAAGTGTTCCCTGAGGTGCTATACAGGGAAACCTGGGAGGCTTTATCGAGATCGTTCCCTGCTATCGGGTCAATGAATCTAAAAGTCAGTGCACTCATGAGTAATTGGAACAGTTCACATTATTAAATATCTCAGATCACATGAACCGACATTAATGTGCAAGAAGTAGTGATATTGCCGACTTTCCTGTAGTCTGTAACACTCTTCTGCGGAGTCATCAAATGCCGGTGTTTACGGAAATCGTGACAGAAACAGAGGTAATGGGAAAAATAGTGGCATCAGAAACCTTATTACAATAAAAGGATATATGTAACATAATAACTGACGAATGACAGATTAGCTTTATAAACACCGAGCATGGTCACAATTTCTTATACACCTACAGGTCAACGACGACAACTGGTAATGCATTACGTTTATTATGAGAACGTATCAGCTGGAAACCCTTTCTAACTGATGTTGCCTCGTCACCAGGATTGAATGGGTACACACCTTGTCAAATTTTGACAGCAGTTAAAATTGGAGAGAAACGTAGTGCGTTTTCAATTTTGGGCTTTGTTATCTGTAGATTTGAATCTGAATTTGGCACTGAAAGAAACTTTCCATGAAGCACATGATAATAAATGCAGCCGACAAGACCATGTCTGTACCCACAGGAACTCTCTGCCAAACACAGGGTCGATTGTACCATTCCGACTATAATTAATCACCATCAAATAGTGTTGAAACCAAGTGTCATGGCAAACTAACACAAGCTTATGGAACGGAACGTGTGTATAGTTTTTGGCGTGAATGGTAAATTGATTATCATGACGGCGTATAATGGAATTAAAAGAATATTTCATTTTGTTTCATTGTGGAGACGAAGATATTTCCAATCTAAGATAATCCACATGAGTGACCAAACAGACTGACATTTTGTTTAACTTATATCACTGCAACAACAATGTTTATATAACCGTGGCCATGTCACTGTGAAAGAGCTCCTCAAAACCGTTAACAATAGCTAACATCAAGATAGACACAATTTTTATGGAAAACAACTTCTTTAATACTATGAAAAGCGACGTTTCAGTATAGATCCTTATACCGTTGTCAACTTGTCTTCGTTGACAATTCCTGTAGAGGTTAATAACATCTTTGAACCTCTAGATAGGGAAGTCACTCCATCTCCAGCAGTTCAACGGAGAGGACCTTAATCTCTGCTAATGGAATACGATGCAATTCTAGAGGACTTCGTAATAATTTTAAATGACATTTAGCTTTTAATCTTTTAAACCATCAGCATTTCTTGACCAGAAACTTTCCCTAAAACTACTGTTAAATTTGATTTAAGACCATTCTTACCATTGCTTTTCCCCTCCAGGGGATAAAGCAACTGCATGGTCGTCTTTTATGGCGAGGCAGGGCGTCATTCACAGTCCTGTTTCTCTCAATACCCCTTCAGGCTGTTGCAGTACGTATAACATTGAATATTGTTTTACTTTGTGTTCTTTGTATGTACCACCATCCTATTCTCCTCGACAGTCTGATCTTCAGGCACTGTATGACCAGCTCCCTAAACCATTTGTCATCATGGGAGATCTGAACGGTCATTACCCTCTTTGGTGTACTAATGACACCAATACCAAAGGAAAACTAGAGGATTTTTTCTTAAATAACGATTTGTGCATTATTAATTATGGTTCTCACACGTATCTACACAACTGCAACTTAATCTTGCAACTGGATCTTACTCTCGTCTGGACTTGTCAGTTGTAGATTCAAATTAACTTAATGAATTTGAATGGTCAGTCGACGATGACCTCAGTGAAAATGACCATTTTCCTACGCTTTTGAAATCTGTTACACTATCTGATGTTCCTCCGTCATCATGATGGAATTTAACTAAAGCCCGTATGGCATTATATGACATTCTTTACACAAACAAACTAAAATCTGAAGTTTTTATGAATGTTTCCGACCCTATCAAATTTTTCTTTGATGAACTTAATGAATGTATTCCGAAGTCCTCACATAAATAAACTATGGTTTAACAATGATTGCAAACAAGCTAGGAAGGCACGGAAAAAGGCTGAAAAATATTTCCTTCTCCATCAAATGGTACATAATGTAAATAAATACAAAATTAAAATGCTAAAGCCCGGAGCACATTAATACAAAATAAAAGCCAATCTTGGCTAAATAATGTATCCAAGATAAATTAGCGGACGCCTATGTCGAAGGTTTGGAATATGATTCAGAAAGTCAAAGGTAAGGGTACTAAATCAAGCATACGCCATCTTAAAAATTGGGATCAATTTTCAACACATAAATTAGATGTTGCTAACAAACCTGGTGAAACACTTGGTGAACATTCTTCCTCGGCTAACTATGTCCCTAAATTTCAAAAATACCAAAAGAAGCAGGAAAAGAAACTATGCATTTTAATTTAGGTAAGGGGGAAGATTATTATGAAGTCTTTTTTCCATTCAGGAGCACTATACTACCCTTGGACAAGCTTATGACATTTACCGCAATCACCATTTATCATTTGATAAAATCTGGACGTCAGTAGAATTTCCTTCTTCATGGCATGAAGCTATAATTGTTCCCATACCTAAACCTGGACGTGATCATACTGATCCTCCCAATTATCAACCCATTTCATTGACCAGCTGTGTTTGCTAAACCATGGAACGCATGGTCAAGAATATATTAACATGGTACTTGGAATCAAATACCTTAATCACAAATATTCCAGACGTATTTCATGAAAATCACAGTACCATTGACCCTTTAGTTCAAATGTGGTAATTCGTTAAGAATGACATAATAAACAAACAACATACAGTGTCCATCTTTTTTTATTTAGAATAAGCTTGTGACACTACATGGAACACAGTAATTTAAATGATTTACCTGACTTTGGGTTGCGATGCCATTTGCCTCAATTTATATCCATTTTTTTCCAAAATTGTTTGTCATTTTATTTAGCATCAAAATCAACAGTTTATCAAAGGTTTTAAACAATTCAATTTATGGATCATTCTTTGTGGATGATTTTAATGTTTCTTGTCGTGTAAAAAACATTCATACGATTGAGAGGCAACCGCAATTGTGTTTAAATACAATCCATAAATGGTGTCTTGAAAATGGCTTTAAATGTTCCAAATCTAAAACAAACTGCATTCATTTTTGTAGAAAATGAAAACCTCACAAAGACCCAGAACTAATATTAGATAACACCCCTTTTAAAGTTGCAAAGGAAACCAATTCTTTAGGTATAATTTTTGATTATCATTTAACCTTTCTACCTTATATAAAATACTTTAAGAATAAATGCCTGAAGGCCCTAGATTTATTAAAAGTTGTTTCTAATTCTAAGTGGAGCGGGGATCAGAAAACCCTCCTCCAACTATACAGAGCTCTCATCCTTTTTAAACTTGATTACGACTCCATCATAAAGCTTCTTGCTTCAGTGGCTGGCGATCTATAGCCCTTTGTATGATGTATTGCAAGGAATGATTCCATACTTGTTTTAAATCTTTTTCTCTGATTTCTGTGTCTTGTTATTTTTCGGTCCTTCGTGGTCATTTTTTTTTTGATAAAAGTCTCGATGTATTTATTATGTGTAAGCCTTGATAGTCACGATATTGCTGAAATATTGCCGACAGTCAGCAGTCAGCAGTCCCTTAACAACAAAACGGTGTACACAACACTTGGCACTTGATCCGGTGACGAATTCTGACTATGGACCTGTTCCTTGATGCAACACATTTACAACCTGAACGAAGTCTGCACCACCCGGATGTCTTCTAGTATATAGCTTCGATCTCCTTCAGTCTATTCAACTGCGCTGACATTATTCAGGCCTACCCCGCAAAGCTCCAGTGTGAAGCCATACAATTACACTGACACAACTCGGGTGTAGCCCCGCCCACCTTCAGTGCACTTGACAGGTATTGACGCGCGTTACCCACCAGTTGAGTTTACAGTGCTGAGTGTTGTTTGATTGCTGGTGAACATGTTGGAGGGGCACAAGCGGGGGACTTGATGAGCCTGTGATTTAGGGTAAGCCGACTTTCACTTATAAGTGACAGCCATATTAAACGTGTATATATTCTGAACACACAGCCCCAAATCTGTCGCTGAAATTGTTCGTCGTTCCAAAACCACTTACTGTAGTTGCATCATGCTAACATCACGACAGATCCACGTTGACATACCGTACGGATTAATATACCAATGTGGAGGACTGAATTATTCAGGGTTTGTCGTGTTATGGCTGACATAGTATTCTTCAGGCCAGACAACGAGAAACACAGTGTGACTCATGGCGGCCATTTTGTGAACTTGAATATGACACCGGAGTGTAGGTACTTGGGAGAAGCCTGTTTATCTCACGTCGCGATATTACGGGAATGCTGCTAACCCGGGTTAAAACTCCTTGAATGGTAACACGTTTCTTCTCTATTTATGTTAGTTTGCTGTTTAACTCAGCAGTATTCCAGCTATATGACGCCGGTCTGTAAATAATCGTTGCTGGGCCAGGCAATCCAGTGATTGACATCAAGAGCATCAACAAGCTGGATGCTGAAGTTGAGTTCTAATCCGGCTCTCAACGGGTCTCTTTCTTTTAGTGATCTATTGCTTAGAACTGTTTTAGCCACATATAACTTTCCAATTATGTTCAGTGATCTATTGCTAAGAACTGTTTTAGCAACATATAACTTTCTACTTATGTTCAGTGATCTATTGCTAAGAACTGTTTTAGCAACATATAACTTTCTACTTATGTTCAGTGATATATTGCTAAGAACTGTTTTAGCAACATATAACTTTCTACTGATGTTCAGGGATCTATTGCTAAGAATTGTTTTAGCAACATACAAGTCTTCGGTATAATCTTAACAATTGGATGACAACGTGTGATTGATATTTATTTTTTCAGAAGCTGTTGACGATATGCTTGAAATGCTTGGATGGTCGTTGCTGATCACATTGCGTAAGTGCACAGGGTACCACTACATTAACTGCTATGTTTACCCTTGCAGTTAACTAAATGTATATACTTCTTTTAAATGACATGGCAAAGCTACAGCACACATGAAAACAAAGTTGACTTTTGGCTTTCAACCTTTTTATTCGATCAGTTCCAAGCTTCGATACAGATGCAAGTTTCTTTTTTTACCAAGCACGTGTGCGACACCTCGGTAGAACAATGTCACACAGCTGATACAGGAATGATCACTGACAGAAGAGGAAATCCGTTAATTATCACTGTCTTCATACATGTATATATATATACACAGAACTCATCCAGGCTCAGTATGCGGCGACAACTGGGTAGGACAAGATCATCTAGCTGATACAGGAATGATCACTGACAGAATAGGAAATCCGTTATTTATCACTGTCTTCATACATGTATATATATATACACAGAACTCATCCAGGCTCAGTATGCGGCGACAACTGGGTAGGACAAGATCATCTAGCTGATACAGGAATGATCACTGACAGAATAGGAAATCCGTTATTTATCACTGTCTTCATACATGTATATATATATACACAGAACTCATCCAGGCTCAGTATGCGGCGACAACTGGGTAGGACAAGATCATCTAGCTGATACAGGAATGATCACTGACAGAATAGGAAATCCGTTATTTATCACTGTCTTCATACATGTATATATATATACACAGAACTCATCCAGGCTCAGTATGCGGCGACAACTGGGTAGGACAAGATCATCTAGCTGATACAGGAATGAAAGATGGGAGACGTCTAAATCCATAATTCAACCCTGTCTCCATACGATTGTTTTGTGTTACTCGACTGAGGTCGACCTGTCTTATATGTATGCCTCGAACAGTGGAACTTGGTAACCATCAGTAAACCAGGTTCATACTCAGAGTGATGAATGTGAGTGAGTGACTTTGGTTTAACACTGTTTTGAACGACTTGTTATCTTAATGTGGGAGGCAATACCTACGTGGAGCAGGTCTTCGGTGTTTAGTACTGAGGTGAAACCAACGGACACGATGTGGTGCTGACAAACCTGGACACATGATCAGTGTGAATCTGGGGAACCCATGCAACGTGTCTTAACTCCTTAGATGGCTGGGGCCTCCATGACCCCGATCTATTCACTACTGACAGATATTATCACTAACCCAGTCACGCAAGCTTCAAACACGTCGGCAATCAGGTAGACATGTATCTTATTTCACTTCTGTTTTCAGTTTCTGCAGTACAGGGTGTCCCGGTGTGCGAGTGGGGCAAGTATGGACCCAACTGTGACCGACTTTGTTCAGATCACTGTGGACCTCATCCTGCCAGACACCTTCGACGCTGTGACAAATATACTGGGGAGTGTTTACATGGGTGTGTTCGTGGTCGGCATGGTGACCTCTGTGATCAACTTTGTAGCCCGAACTGCATCAAGACCACGTGTAACCAACCCAACGGGGGATGTACCATCGGGTGTATAGATGGATACAGTGGATATTTCTGTATCAGAACAGCAGGTACGCAAATACAGACAACAGGTACACAGACACAGGCAACAGGTACACAGATACAGACAACAGGTACACTGATACAGACAGCAGGTAGACAGATACAGACAGCAGGTAGACAGATACAGACAACAGGTACACAAATACAGACAACAGGTACACAGACACAGACAACAGGTACACTGATACAGACAACAGGTACACAGATACAGCCAACAGGTGCACTGATACAGACAACAGGTACACAGATACAGACAACAGGTACACAGATACAGACAACAGGTACACAGACACAGACAACAGGTACACAGATACAGACAACAGGTACACTGATACAGACAACAGGTACACTGATACAGACAACTGGTACACAGATACAGACAACAGGTACACTGATACAGACAACAGGTACACAGACACAGACAACAGGTACACAGATACAGACAACAGGTACACAGATACAGACAACAGGTACACAGATACAGACAACAGGTACACAGATACAGACAACAGTTACACTGATACAGACAACAGGTACACTGATACAGACAACAGGTACACAGATACAGACAACAGGTACACAGATACAGACAACAGGTACACTGATACAGACAACAGGTACACAGACACAGACAACAGGTACACTGATACAGACAACAGGTACACAGATACAGACAACAGGTACACAGACACAGACAACAGGGGCACAGATACAGACAACAGGTGCACTGATACAGACAACAGGTACACAGACACAGACAACAGGTACACTGATACAGACAACAGGTACACAGATACAGACAACAGGTGCACTGATACAGACAACAGGTACACAGATACAGACAACAGGTTTACACATACAGACAACAGGTACACTGATACAGACAACAGGTACACTGATACAGACAACAGGTACACAGATACAGACAACAGGTACACAGATACAGACAACAGGTACACTGATACAGACAACAGGTACATTGATACAGACAACAGGTACACAGAAACAGACAACAGGTACACAGACACAGACAACAGGTACACAGATACAGACAACAGGTACACAGATACAGACAACAGGTACACAGACACAGACAACAGGTACACTGATACAGACAACAGGTACACAGATACAGACAACAGGTGCACTGATACAGACAACAGGTACACAGATACAGACAACAGGTACACTGATACAGACAACAGGTACACAGATACAGACAACAGGTACACAGATACAGACAACAGGTACACTGATACAGACAACAGGTACATTGATACAGACAACAGGTACACAGATACAGACAAAGGGTACACAGATACAGACAACAGGTACACTGATACAGACAACAGGTACACAGATACAGACAAAAGGTACACAGATACAGACAACAGGTACACTGATACAGACAACAGGTACACAGATACAGACAACAGGTACACAGATACAGACAACAGGTACACTGATACAGACAACAGGTACACAGATACAGACAACAGGTACACAGATACAGACAACAGGTACACAGATACAGACAACAGGTTTACACATACAGAAATCAGGTGCACAGATACAGACAACAGGTAGACAGATACAGACAACAGGTAGACAGATACAGACAACAGGTAGACAGATACAGACAACAGGTACACTGATACAGACAACAGGTACACTGATACAGACAACAGGTACACTGATACAGACAACAGGTTTACACATACAGACAACAGGTGCACAGATACAGACAACAGGTAGACAGATACAGACAACAGGTACACAGATACAGACAACAGGTAGACAGATACAGACAACAGGTGCACAGATACAGACAACAGGTAGACAGATACAGACAACAGGTACACAGATACAGACAACAGGTACACTGATACAGACAACAGGTACACTGATACAGACAACAGGTACACTGATACAGACAACAGGTTTACACATACAGACAACAGGTGCACAGATACAGACAACAGGTAGACAGATACAGACAACAGGTAGACAGATACAGACAACAGGTACACAGATACAGACAACAGGTACACTGATACAGACAACAGGTACACAGATACAGACAACAGGTTTACACATACAGACAACAGGTTTACACATACAGACAACAGGGGCACAGATACAGACAACAGGTGCACTGATACAGACAACAGGTACACTGATACAGACAACAGGTGCACAGATACAGACAACAGGTACACATATACAGACAACAGGTACACAGATACAGACAACAGGTACACTGATACAGACAACAGGTACATTGATACAGACAACAGGTACACAAATACAGACAACAGGTACACAGACACAGACAACAGGTACACAGATACAGACAACAGGTACACTGATACAGACAACAGGTACACATATACAGACAACAGGTACACTGATACAGACAACAGGTACACAGATACAGACAACAGGTACACTGATACAGACAACAGGTACACAGACACAGACAACAGGTACACTGATACAGACAACAGGTGCACAGATACAGACAACAGGTACACAGATACAGACAACAGGTACACTGATACAGACAACAGGTGCACAGATACAGACAACAGGTACACAGATACAGACAACAGGTACACTGATACAGACAACAGGTACACAGACACAGACAACAGGTACACTGATACAGACAACAGGTGCACAGATACAGACAACAGGTACACAGATACAGACAACAGGTACACAGATACAGACAACAGGTACACAGATACAGACAACAGGTGCACAGATACAGACAACAGGTAGACAGATACAGACAACAGGTAGACAGATACAGACAACAGGTACACAGATACAGACAACAGGTACACTGATACAGACAACAGGTACACAGATACAGACAACAGGTTTACACATACAGACAACAGGTTTACACATACAGACAACAGGGGCACAGATACAGACAACAGGTGCACTGATACAGACAACAGGTACACTGATACAGACAACAGGTGCACAGATACAGACAACAGGTACACATATACAGACAACAGGTACACAGATACAGACAACAGGTACACTGATACAGACAACAGGTACATTGATACAGACAACAGGTACACAAATACAGACAACAGGTACACAGACACAGACAACAGGTACACAGATACAGACAACAGGTACACTGATACAGACAACAGGTACACATATACAGACAACAGGTACACTGATACAGACAACAGGTACACAGATACAGACAACAGGTACACTGATACAGACAACAGGTACACAGACACAGACAACAGGTACACTGATACAGACAACAGGTGCACAGATACAGACAACAGGTACACAGATACAGACAACAGGTACACTGATACAGACAACAGGTGCACAGATACAGACAACAGGTACACAGATACAGACAACAGGTACACTGATACAGACAACAGCTACACAGACACAGACAACAGGTACACTGATACAGACAACAGGTGCACAGATACAGACAACAGGTACACAGATACAGACAACAGGTACACTGATACAGACAACAGGTACACAGATACAGACAACAGGTAGACAGATACAGACAACAGGTACACAGACACAGACAACAGGTACACAGATACAGACAACAGTTACACATATACAGACAACAGGTACACAGATACAGACAACAGGTACACAGATACAGACAACAGGTACACAGATACAGACAACAGGTACACAGATACAGACAACAGGTACACTGATACAGACAACAGGTACACTGATACAGACAACAGGTTTACACATACAGACAACAGGTGCACAGATACAGACAACAGGTAGACAGATACAGACAACAGGTACACAGATACAGACAACAGGTACACAGATACAGACAACAGGTACACTGATACAGACAACAGGTACACAGATACAGACAACAGGTTTACACATACAGACAACAGGTTTACACATACAGACAACAGGTGCAAAGATACAGACAACAGGTAGACAGATACAGACAACAGGTACACTGATACAGACAACAGGTACACAGATACAGACAACAGGTACACTGATACAGACAACAGGTACACATATACAGACAACAGGTACACTGATACAGACAACAGGTACACAGATACAGACAACAGGTACACAGAAACAGACAACAGGTAGACAGATACAGACAGCAGGTAGACAGATACTGACAACAGGTACACAAATACAGACAACAGGTGCACAGATACAGACAACAGGTAGACAGATACAGACAACAGGTAGACAGATACAGACAACAGGTACACAGATACAGACAACAGGTAGACAGATACAGCCAACAGGTTCACAGAAACAGACAATATGTACACAGATACAGACAACAGGTACACTGATACAGACAACAGGCACACAGATACGGACAACAGGTAGACAGATACTGACAACAGGTACACAGATACAGACAACAGGTACACTGATACAGACAACAGGTACACAGACAACAGGTACACTGATACAGACAACAGGTGCACAGATACAGACAACAGGTACACAGATACAGACAACAGGTACACTGATACAGACAACAGGTACACAGATACAGACAACAGGTACACAGACACAGACAACAGGTACACAGATACAGAAAACAGGTACACTGATAAAGACAACAGGTACACAGATACAGACAACAGGTACACTGATACAGACAACAGGTACACTGATACAGACAACAGGTACACTGATACAGACAACAGGGGCACAGATACAGACAACAGGTACACAGATACAGACAACAGGTACACAGATACAGACAACAGGTACACTGATACAGACAACAGGGGCACAGGTACAGACAACAGGTACACAGATACAGACATCAGGTACACTGATACAGACAACAGGTACACAAATACAGACAACAGGTACACAAAAAAGACAACAGGTAGACAGATACAGACAACAGGTACACAGACACAGACAACAGGTACACAGATACAGACAACAGGTAGACGGATACAGACAACAGGTACACTGATACAGACAACATGTACACTGATACAGACAACAGGTACACAGATACAGACAACAGGTACACAGATACAGACAACAGGTTTACACATACAGACAACAGGTTTACACATATAGACAACAGGTGCACAGATACAGACAACAGGTAGACAGATACAGACAACAGGTACACTGATACAGACAACAAGTACACTGATACAGACAACAGGTACACAGATACAGACAACAGGTACACAGATACAGACAACAGGTGCACTGATACAGACAATAGGTACACAGATACAGACAACAGGTACACTGATACAGACAACAGGTACACTGATACAGACAACAGGTACACTGATACAGACAACAGGTACACAGATACAGACAACAGGGGCACAGATACAGACAACAGGTACACTGATACAGACAACAGGTACACAAATACAGACAACAGGTACACTGATACAGACAACAGGTACACTGATACAGACAACAGGTACACTGATACAGACAACAGGTACACTGATACAGACAACAGGTACACAGATACAGACAACAGGTACACAGATACAGACAACAGGTAGACAGATACAGACAACAGGTACACTGATACAGACAACATGTACACAAATACAGACAACAGGTACACTGATACAGACAACAGGTACACAAATACAGACAACAGGTACACTGATACAGACAACAGGTACACTGATACAGACAACAGGGGCACAGATACAGACAACAGGTACACTGATACAGACAACAGGTACACAAATACAGACAACAGGTACACAAATACAGACAACAGTTACACATATACAGACAACAGGTACACAAATACAGACAACAGGTACACAAATACAGACAACAGTTACACATATACAGACAACAGGTACACAGATACAGACAACAGGTACACAAATACAGACAACAGGTACACAAATACAGACAACAGTTACACATATACAGACAACAGATACACAGATACAGACAACAGGTACACAAATACAGACAACAGTTACACATATACAGACAACAGGTACACAGATACAGCCAACAGGTACACAAATACAGACAACAGTTACACATATACAGACAACAGTTACACATATACAGACAACAGGTACACATATACAGACAACAGGTTCACAGATACAGACAACAGTTACACAGATACATACAGCAGGTACACAGATACAGACAACAGGTACACAGATACAGACAACAGTTACACATATACAGACAACAGGTACACTGATACAGACAACAGGTACACAAATACAGACAACAGGTAGACAGATACATACAGCAGGTACACAGATACAGACTTTGAGTAGAGAATTCTGTTTGCTACAGATGAGGGATACATTACAAAGATTATAACGTCATGTCATGTGTTTGTTACAAGCGGTGAGGGGGCAAAGTAGCCATGTTGTATTTGTTGGTGGCAGGTGAGGGGAACATTAGAGACACTAATTACTAATTGTGTGTTTGTTGGTGGCAGGTGAGGGGAACATCAAACACACTAATTACTAATTTTGTGTTTGTTGGTGGCAGGTGAGGGGAACATCAAACACACTAATTACTAATTTTGTGTTTGTTGGTGGCAGGTGAGGGGAACATTAGACACACTAATTACTAATTGTGTGTTTGTTGGTGGCAGGTGAGGGGAACATCAAACACACTAATTACTAATTTTGTGTTTGTTGGTGGCAGGTGAGGGGAACATCAAACACACTAATTACTAATTTTGTGTTTGTTGGTGGCAGGTGAGGGGAACATTAGACACACTAATTACTAATTGTGTGTTTGTTGGTGGCAGGTGAGGGGAACATCAAACACACTAATTACTAATTTTGTGTTTGTTGGTGGCAGGTGAGGGGAACATCAAACACACTAATTACTAATTTTGTGTTTGTTGGTGGCAGGTGAGGGGAACATTAGACACACTAATAACTAATTGTGTGTTTGTTGGTGGCAGGTGAGGGGAACATCAAACACACTAATTACTAATTTTGTGTTTGTTGGTGGCAGGTGAGGGGAACATTAGAGACACTAATTACTAATTGTGTGTTTGTTGGTGGCAGGTGAGGGGAACATTGGACACACTAATTACTAATTGTGTGTTTGTTGGTGGCAGGTGAGGGGAACATTAGAGACACTAATTACTAATTGTGTGTTTGTTGGTGGCAGGTGAGGGGAACATCAAACACACTAATTACTAATTGTGTGTTTGTTGGTGGCAGGTGAGGGGAACATTAGACACACTAATTACTAATTGTGTGTTTGTTGGTGGCAGGTGAGGGGAACATTAGACACACTAATTACTAATTGTGTGTTTGTTGGTGGCAGGTGAGGGGAACATCAAACACACTAATTACTAATTTTGTGTTTGTTGGTGGCAGGTGAGGGGAACATTAGACACACTAATTACTAATTGTGTGTTTGTTGGTGGCAGGTGAGGGGAACATCAAACACACTAATTACTAATTTTGTGTTTGTTGGTGGCAGGTGAGGGGAACATTAGAGACACTAATTACTAATTGTGTGTTTGTTGGTGGCAGGTGAGGGGAACATTGGACACACTAATTACTAAATGTGTGTTTGTTGGTGGCAGGTGAGGGGAACATTAGAGACACTAATTACTAATTGTGTGTTTGTTGGTGGCAGGTGAGGGGAACATCAAACACACTAATTACTAATTTTGTGTTTGTTGGTGGCAGGTGAGGGGAACATTAGACACACTAATTACTAATTGTGTGTTTGTTGGTGGCAGGTGAGGGGAACATCAAACACACTAATTACTAATTTTGTGTTTGTTGGTGGCAGGTGAGGGGAACATCAAACACACTAATTACTAATTGTGTGTTTGTTGGTGGCAGGTGAGGGGAACATTAGAGACACTAATTACTAATTTTGTGTTTGTTGGTGGCAGGTGAGGGGAACATTAGACAAACTAATCACTAATTTTGTATTTGTTTGTGGCAGGTGAGGGACACATGCAGTTTATGTGGATGGTACATGTTGCCATCGTTATCTTTTCGACGGTTTTGTGCTGGAAGAGGTGAGTTTACTTTGTTTGGGTCGGGTTCTAATCTCACACTACTTCACCATTTACTTTATGATCAACTGATTTTGTTCAGCGTAGTTTTGACGTAGTTTCCATGGGTAAAATGTTGTACTAGAAGATTTTAGTTTTCCGAATACACAGCTATTATTCTAAATTGAACATGTTATGATCCTTATCAGAAATGGCAATTGTGTTCCAGCCTTAATTCAACACAAGACATGGTTTTACTGCGAAATGTGAATATGTATTTGTGTGGAGTCACCGGCAGGAGTTGGGGAATACGAGGAAATGTCAAGCAGGTGCCCTGTGTATTAATAACCACATCTCTTTTGCAGTCGACGATGTAGAAGAATGTTTGACATAGGGTTTACACAGCTTATCAGAAGGTAATTCTCATGAAGACTCGTTCTTTAAAGCATGCGGTAGTATCTTCTCTAAATGATTGATAGTAATGTTGCTTAAGAGGTGGGTGATTGAGTTAGATTTAACACTGCTTTGGGCAGTAGTTCAGTCATATCACGACGTGTCAGCTTGATGTGGGAGGAAAGCCGGAAGGGATGCAGGTCACAGACGTTTACTACTTTGGTGACACCCACAAGTAGTTGGTAGCAGGACTCTGGAACCGGTTCCGGTTGCGTGCGCATCCAAGATGGCGGCGGGAAGGTGGGAAGCAGGACGGCAGGAAGGCGGGGAGGTGGTTGCGATTGCGTGTGAAGATGATAGATCACTGAGACGAGCTGATACACAGTCGATGACCCAGCAACTTTGTTACTTGGTTGATGTTACATCGCTGAAGGATCTTGCAACAAAATTCAACAAATCACGTCATGAGTATTATGACGTGATTGTAAACGTTGAGGTACAAGGTCTCATTCCACAAGGCGATTGTATTGTAGCACAATGACAGTCGTTCGTCTAAACTAAAGTTGTGAGTGGTGATCACCTTACCGCTGTCCACAACTGCTTCTCTCCGTGATCCAAGGCCAACTGAACCATGCTCATGATGATCACCTCACATATCACCATGATCTGAACAAAATAGACGACTTCGCGGCGGGGTAACGTCATCCCAAAACAAGACCAAGGGGAGTGTCGACTCTGTGGATGGCATGGGGCAGCAGCAACAGCAAGGGGAGGTTTATTGCTTTACACACATATGATGCGATGGGGTGGCGTTTCCAACGCCCCGGGGCAGTGCATCTGCTCCATACATGATTTCACAAAGGAACTTTTTCCTGATCCCGTGGGTTCCGCAATGAACATCGTAAAACGGTGTCATAGGGTCAAAGCGGAGGTCATGACCTCTTCCTCCTCACCATGCGACGTCATCCTCCTGTGTTCAGGGGGTGACGTGTCTCTTGCAGATGAATTTCGTCAAAACTGGATGGCAACACTCAACAGTAGTACCCGATATATGATGTATAAAGAATATAAAACACTGTTTGAACCTAAAGGATATTTGAGCATTTACTATGGCAAACACGTACGCAGTGGGTTTTTTAAATTAAGATGTAACGTTTTACGTTTACGACAGAACGAGGGTAGATGGCAATCTATTGAATCATGTTTACGTACATATGTACATATGTGTATGTGTCCTGTTTGCAATATGTCTTTTGAAGATGAATATCATGTGTTGCTACTGCTACCGCTGCTGCTGTTGTTTCTGCGGCTGCTGCTGCGGCTGCTGTGGGTGCTGCTGCTGCTTTTGCTGCTACTGAGGGCAGTGTTGTTGTGGATTAGGGTTCAGTCCGCCGTGTTGTTTTTTTGTTTTTTAGGATCTGGTAGAGTGGATGGTTCAGCCTGTTTCCGTTGCTTGTTTCCCTTTTCCACACGTAGTCCCACGTGAGGCATCCAAATGGCATACCCCGGAGGCAATGTTGATCTGATGGGGGTAATGCAAGCTGATTTTCTCCCCCTCCTTCCCAGGCCGTTGCCCCAGTATCAGTCCTTTCATGGTGTCAAAGTTGAGACATTGTTGGTTTCTGTAATTCAAGGTGAACCCTCGCACTTTGCAGGTCATGCGCGTTCCATCGGGTCTTGGGGTCATTAACTCATAGGCCTAGTTTGGGGGACCTCCTGACACAAACGTCTTGATGATGTTTCCGTTCAGTTCGTCTGTAAACTCACCCGACGAATGACCCAGTTCTGGACTGCTTTCGTGGGATAGATGAATGAAAAAGACGCTGTACAATGCCTTGATTTCACTCCAACCACGTTTTTCAGATGGTGGTCACCTGATCCTAGCCTGTTGGGATCTGCTACGTGTACTAAGGTCACAACCATGGTGGCATCGATGTTAAGGGCTTGGTTTGACTGTTTGACTTTTTGCATGGCATGTAAGATATCTAGGCCATGGAGATCTTCAATGCAACGAAATGGAATCCGTATGGCAGTGTCCAAAGCGGGGTGTTTGATACCTAGACCAATACGATCGCCCTTCTGGCCTGAGATCTGTTGAGAGAAATCCTCATCCTTAAGTTCCACAACATGATCGTAGCGCAAAGGTGATCGCCACTCACATACTTTAACTTAGACGAACGACTGTCATTGTACTACCATACGATCGCCTTGTGGAACGAGACCTTGCACCTTTAAATTCACGTCATAATACCTGATGGCGTGATTTGTTGAATTTTGTTGCAATATCCTGCGGCGATGTGACGTCAACCTAGCAACAAAGTGTGGGACTGTGTATAAGCTCGTCACGGTGATCTATCATTTCCACACGCAATCGACACACACACTGCACACCCTCCCCTCCTCCTCCCTCCCTCCCTCCCTTCTCCCGCCTTCCGCCTTCCCTCCTCACTCCCTCTTCCCTCCTCACTCCCTCTTCCCTCCTCCTCCCTTCTCCCGCCTTCCGCCTTCCCTCCTCACTCCCTCTTCCCTCCTCACTCCCTCTTCCCTCCTCCTCCCTTCTCCCGCCTTCCGCCTTCCCTCCTCCTCCCTCCTGCCGCCTTCCGCCTTTCTGCCTTCCCGCCTTTCCTCCGCCGCCATCTTGGATGCGCCGAGCCGCCATCTATGAGGCGCGCGCCTCCCGGAACCGTAAGTGCCGCCATCTTTGATGCGCACGCAACCGGAACCGAAAGTGCCGCCATCTTGGAGGCGCACGCAACCGGAACCGTAAGTGCCGCCATCTTTGATGCGCACGCAACCGGAACCGAAAGTGCCCAGTTCCAGAGTCCTGCTACCAACTACTCCCACAAACACAGTTATGGTGCTGACAAACCTAGAATCTTAGTCACAGTGATGTGGGATTATACGACCATAGGTTTTCGACATTCCTGAGGGACACTACTTTGCCACGCGGAAAGGGTGCAATTCTGCATAACAAACTGTAACGTCTACGACGGCAGAGCTGACCGTGTCCTCGTATTACTTATAAACACATCAGTATTGCAGTTGTCTTACCGCCTCTTTTACTCTTTTTCAGGAATCCAAGGTCTTGTAAGTGATATTTTACTTTTCATATTTTACTTGAAGCATACTTAGACACACACAATATACATGTATGCACCTAATCTAATCTAATCTGGTGAACTGTTTGGAATGTGGACGTTCTTGTTTCACATTTTACGACTGCCTCTGTACTATTGCCAGAACCAGCATGTGATGACAATGTCTGGTTACTTGTCTGGGAATCGAGCAAAGGGAGTTCATTATTTCGCAGAATATTTAATTTGGTATTTTCAATCATTCATCTATCTCTGACTGCAACGTAATCCACCATTAAGTCAGCCTTCCTCCAGGACAGTCAGGTGCATCAACACAATAATCTTCAACATAAAAGTTGTTGCAATGAGTTAAACTATATGACGTAGGTGCAACCTCACAGCCTTCACGCCACAAGACATTGTTATATTATACATTCATATACCGTACTGCAGCCAAGGACATCTAGAACACGTTATATGAATATGGCGGGAACATGCGTATCTCAATAAAATTTGAAAGTGTTTTATATTATACTTAAATGGTGGGAGCAAGTGTTCTCAATTGAAATAGTAAAGTCTCGTTTGCATCTCCCTGGCATAATGCCAGAAAAAGAAACTACTTCAGTCCGTTCAACGAATATGAAATTCATAGATGCTACACATAAATACACACATTACAGCCGTACTAAGTCGACGACTCAAAGACACCGGGCAGACCGGGCAGACATCAGACAGGCCTCTAACAGGCAGATCCAGTGTACCTACGCCCAATGGAGACCTGCACGTGCATATCCCGGATCGCTTCCTGACAGTGACGCCATCAGTGACGTATAGGAAGATGCAGATGGGAGCCACCCATTCCAACATTGCTAGAACCGTTGGTAGCTCCCGTGTTGAAGTAACTAACTGATGCAACGGTACAGACAGACCAGGCAGACATCAAACAGGCCAAGAACAGACAGACCCAGGGTAACCACGCACAATAGAGACCGGCACTTGCCTATTTGCATCACCCGAGTCGGTTCCTGACAGTGACATCATCAGCGACGAATGCTACTCAGCTACTAAAGGCTGAAGGAATTAGGGCTTACAGACCTTACAGAGGAAAGTGCAACCTCGTCGTCAGAGACGACCGGACTGTACGTCGTTGGCGGCGACGTGAGTGGGAGAGGATCTTCGTCACTGATAAAAAAGCCTCTTATGGCTGTTTAGAGATGATGGAAGACAGAATGTTTAACGGGAGAACTAACGGTGGCATGTTTCGTTCAGGATGTCGCCCGTATTGTGGACGTGGTGTTATGGTGTGGGGAAGAATTAGTCGTCATTAACAGGGGGGAAAAATACCACCAAGATACGGACCCCAAAAGTCTCTTCCTCTAAACAATCACACCGAAAGGTGTTTTACCAACACACAGGCACACTCCAGGTAACACAGTAAGGTACGAATAAGACAGGCATCCAATAAGCCTCAGTTGCAACTACACACACAGCAGACATTATGACAGGCACCCCGGGTCCCTATTACTGCCACACATACATTTATTTAGGCTGTGTCGCCGTTAGCTGTTCCCACATGCATGGATCCTAGAAGGGACATTGTGGCATTGTTGCGTTGTTGCGTTGTTTTGCTTGCAAAAACAAGCAAAATTTATTAAAATTAAGGTCAAAATGTGTCCCTATGTGTCATCACATTGATAATATTGCGTTGTCTAGTTTCCCTTTTTCATTAATTTTACATCTGAGCATGTGTAGTACAAGTGTGGAAATAGTTTTACTACTTTACAAACTCCGGGGGCATGGGTTCCAGTGGTTCTGAAACATGAGTTACTTGTCTTAAAATGAAAACAAACATTTGATCGTTTCTTTCGAATATATTCATAATTATATCGATATTGTGGGTGTAATTTACATACGCCAACGTGCTGTCACTCTTTGCATGTCTGTTTCATTGTGTCCTGGTGTCCAAAAACTTCTCAAACTGATGAGGAGATTGGTTGGTCCAGTCGGTGTTGGCGGCGCAATTCGCTGTACAGAGTTGCGTCCCCTAGATGTAACAGAAAACTATGATCGTGGGTTCGAATCACAGCACCATACACATGTACTCTTTCGGGTTTTCCTCCCGCTTTAATATTTACGATTAACCAATCACTGAACTACCTGATATTTATACCTCTGCTACAAACATGTTTAAATCTTATTCATGAGTGAACATTATAAGGGGCAAAACCTGTGTCGAATGGCAGCAATTTAGTATTTACAAAGCTTATAATAGACTCTATTGTTTCCAGACTACTATATTCTCCCTTTCAGCCTCGAGTGACCCGAGTCAGGATCTGAGTCGGAGTCGGAGGGAACCACGGCTTTCCACTTCTTCACACGGTAGGTGGGGAACCCAGCCGGCAGAGAGCTCACTCCTCAACCCCTCCCTCAGACAGTGTATTCAGTTAACTACCTGATGTAAAGCAATGTAATAATAAATATCATATTATCTATAATTTCAAACAGCAATTGAAATGACAGTGTCTGACTATAAAGCTCAGTCCAACAAACGTTAACACTCTCCAGCCATACCCAGAATATTGTTACAACTAGAGGATTTAGAAGAGAGCATTAAAACAAATGTCACGTGAATATATTATTCTAAGTTAATTACATAAACCATTTCCCACATTGTATATTGTTGTCATCCACACAGGAAGTGGTTCATCATGTATCGATGTTCCTGTCACGTATCAACACTTCCAGGTGTGAACACAGTAGATGTATGACAAAGATGTCTGGATGTGTACAGAGTTTACTTTGTGTTACAGCGGCTCCATCACAAGCAGACCGCGACCTCTTCCGCGCCAGCGGGGCCGGAGACCTGGAGAAGGTGAAGCGGATCCTGTTTAAGGGTGATGTCAACATCAACTGTAGAGTCGTGACCTGGACACCGGTGATGTTGGCAGCATACAGCGGACACAGAGAAGTGGTGGTGCTCCTTGTGATTAAAGGAGCCGATGTGTCACTGGTGGACGTTGACCGTAACAACATCCTTCACTTGGCCAGTTGGGGTGGAGACATGGAAACGGTGAAGTTTATCTTGTCACTGAACGTGGTGGACATCAACGCCATGAACGGCTACGAGCAGACAGCGGCCGGCTGGGCCAGACACTGGGGACACCAACACGTGGTGAGACTGCTGGAGTCCCGCGGCGGTCGGCCGGGTCAGACACTGGGGACACCAACACGTGGTGAGACTGCTGGCGTCCCGCGGCGGGGGGCCGGGCCAGACACTGGGGACACCAACACGTGGTGAGACTGCTGGAGTCCCGCGGCGGGGGGCCGGGCCAGACACTGGGGACACCAACACGTGGTGAGACTGCTGGAGTCCCGCGGCGGGGGGCCGGGCCAGACACTGGGGACACCAACACGTGGTGAGACTGCTGGAGTCCCGCGGCGGTCGGCCGGGTCAGACACTGGGGACACCAACACGTGGTGTGACTGCTGGCGTCCCGCGGCGGGGGGCCGGGCCAGACACTGGGGACACCAACACGTGGTGAGACTGCTGGAGTCCCGCGGCGGGGGGCCGGGCCAGACACTTGGGACATCAACACGTGGTGAGACTGCTGGCGTCCCGCGGCGGAGGGGCCGGGCCAGACACTGGGGACATCAACACGTGGTGAGACAACTGGAGTCACGCGGCGGCCGGCCGGGCCAGACACTGGGGACATCAACACGTGGTGAGACTGCTGGAGTCCCGCGGCGGCCGGCCGGGCCAGACACTGGGGACATCAACACGTGGTGAGACTGCTGGAGTCCCGCGGCGGCCGGCCGGGCCAGACACTGGGGACATCAACACGTGGTGAGACTGCTGGAGTCCCGCGGCGGCCGGCCGGGCCAGACACTGGGGACATCAACACGTGGTGAGACTGCTGGAGTCACGCGGCGGCCGGCCGGGCCAGACACTGGGGACATCAACACGTGGTGAGACTGCTGGAGTCCCGCGGCGGCCGGCCGGGCCAGACACTGGGGACATCAACACGTGGTGAGACTGCTGGAGTCCCGCGGGGGCCGCTGCCAGACACTGGAGACATCAACACGTGGTGAGACTGCTGGAGTCCCGCGGGGGCCGCTGCCAGACACTGGGGACATCAACACGTGGTGAGACTGCTGGAGTCCCGCGGCGGCCGCTGCCAGACACTGGGGACATCAACACGTGGTGAGACTGCTGGCGTCCCGCAGGGGCCGCTGCCAGACACTGGGGACATCAACACGTGGTGAGACTGCTGGAGTCCCGCGGGGGCCGCTGCCAGACACTGGGGACATCAACACGTGGTGAGACTGCTGGAGTCACGCGGCGGTCGGCCGGGCCAGACACTGGGGACATCAACACGTGGTGAGACTGCTGGAGTCCCGCGGCGGCCGGCCGGGCCAGACACTGGGGACATCAACACGTGGTGAGACTGCTGGAGTCACGCGGCGGTCGGTGCCAGACACTGGGGACATCAACACGTGGTGAGACTGCTGGAGTCCCGCGGGGGCCGCTGCCAGACACTGGGGACATCAACACGTGGTGAGACTGCTGGAGTCCCGCGGCGGCCGCTGCCAGACACTGGGGACATCAACACGTGGTGAGACTGCTGGCGTCCCGCAGGGGCCGCTGCCAGACACTGGGGACATCAACACGTGGTGAGACTGCTGGAGTCCCGCGGGGGCCGCTGCCAGACACTGGGGACATCAACACGTGGTGAGACTGCTGGAGTCACGCGGCGGTCGGTGCCAGACACTGGGGACATCAACACGTGGTGAGACTGCTGGAGTCCCGCGGCGGCCGGCCGGGTCAGACACTGTGGACATCAACACGTGGTGAGACAACTGGAGTCACGCGGCGGCCGCTGCCAGACACTAGAGACATCAACACTAGGTGAGACTGCTGGACACGCGGCGGCCGGCCGGGCCAGACACTAGAGACATCAACACGTGATGAGACTGCTGCTGTCCCGCGGCGGCCGGTGAAGTCAGTGTAGTGTTTGTGTAGACGGTGAAGGAGGACGGAGTTACGGGGTGACGTGCTGTGCCGTTCACGTCGTCGTGTTATGTGTATAAAGCCCCACCCACCCTCAGTTTTGAAAGTAACTGGTAATGTAAACACAACCGAGTGTCGAGAGAAGCTTTTTGAAAAACCGTACGAAAACAAGATCACCAAAGATTGTCAAACTTGAATGACAAACCTTGGACACCAGAAATGGCTCCATATCTAGAGATGAGTCAATAAATTTTCTGTCGTGTTACCATAAAATATCGAATCGGTCGTGTTTGAGTGTCTGCTTCATGCACAGTGGGCGGAGCTTATTTAGGGTTGCGCTATCAATAGCAAAGCACGTGGCCATGTGTACATGTGACACATTCGATGCATTTGTGGTCAAGTGTATAGTGGTGTATATATTTACGGTAGAACAGCAGCGCAACAACAGTTTCGGTAAATTAAAAGTACGATACATAAATACGAAATCGACGTCAGTTACATAAGTTTTAGCAACAAGATTTCTTCATCTCAATCAGAAAATGGCATATAGCTGGGTAGTTAAGGCTAAAATGTTTAGTTTTGGTCACTTGCATTCAACAGTTACACCACACAATAATGAGACTAAAAACTAAAGACTGAACAAAAAAAGAAACGTCAGGTTTTATTTTAACTACTATTTTAAATTATCATGATGATGTAAACTATGATCAAGTGTATAGTACACAGTGTTGTGAGTAGATATCAACACAAATCGGTCACTGAAACATTATCAAACCCGTGTTGGGCCTCAGTCTGCATCAATCAGAGTGAGTGAGTGAGTTGGGTTTAACGCCGCTTTTAACAATATTCCAGTTATATCGCGGCGTGTCAGCTTAATGTGGTAGGAAAGCCCGAAGTGATGCAGGTCTGAGACGTTTACCACTTCAGTGAAACCCACGAGCACGGGTATGGTGCTGACAAACCTAGAAACATAATCGGGGCGAACCGGGATTCGAACCCACAATTATAGGTTTCTGGCGAACCCAAGGGATGCAACTCTGCACAGCGAATCACGGCGCCTTAGACGACTGGGTCACCCGTGCCCCGCATCAATCAGAGCTCATCCGGGTCTCGTTGACGTCACATATGTCTGGGTTTCATTCCACTCTGCCAACAAGGCATCGTCAAGTTCCCGGATGTTCTGGGGCTTTTCTGACATCGTTGCACACGTCTGTCCAAGGGGAGCCCCACAAATGTTCAGTCTGGACTTTGGTCTGGCCAAGACAAGACATCCGTTAACCTGCAGGAAATCTCGTGTTGTGCGTGCGGTGTGACTTGTGACGTTGTCACGTTGAAGCGTCACGTCGGCGTTGGCGTTGAAGTCAGGGACAACCTGCTGAGCAAGAATCCCGTCCCTGCAGCGCCACGCATTCAGATTTCCACGAATAGAAACAAGAGCTGCCGGCCTCAACGCGTGTGGATGTGTCACTTTAGTTCTTTTATGAGTGCTTCATTTAATTCTCTACTTTCTTTGGTTTGTCCGGGTTCAGTAAGTGCAAGGCCAAGCACGTGGATGTAAATAGAATAGGAAATGAACTTGTGTACAGGGCCCATACAATCTGGAGTGAGTGAGTATGGTTTTACGCCGCTTTTAGCAATATTCCAGGAATATCACAGCGGGGGACACCAGAAATTGTACCCATGTCGGGATTCGAACCCGTGTCCGGCGTGACGAGCGAACGCTTTAACCACTAGGCTAACCCACTGCCCCATACAATGTGTAAGTATTAACACAATATATAAGTAAAAACATCTTAATCATAACCAGCCATTCTATAACAAATGTAAATGGTGTAAAAGGGTATAATTCTTGATGAAAATGTTGAAGTGTGTATCACAGGAAAGCAATGTTGTTATGATAATAACATGTACTTACTACCTTAGTAACAAGTTGCAATATTTCACATTTGTTTTTATTATAGCTTGTACCTGTCAACATTAAGCCTTACAATTGAGGGGCCAGTAAAAGAATTGGAAGAAAATACATAATATCGGTCACAAGACTCAAGATTGAATCAAGAATGTATGAATCATGAATGTATGAATCAAGAATGTATGAATCAATCTATGCTGATGTCTAAAATATACCATTCACGACAGTGTACAGAATTATGTGTCAATGGCCAAAGTGTATCACCTACAGGAACTATGCGTATCCGTCTGCAATTCCAGCCCAAACCATTACACATCCAGCTCCTCCAAAATGATCTCTCTCAGGAACACAAGCGTCAGCATAACGTTCATCCCTGTACGCCCGATGTCGACTGTCAAATCTGGAGAGTGAAAAACAGGATTCGTCACTAAAGAGCACCCCCTGCCATCCACGTCGAGACCAACGCAGATGAGCACGAGCCCACTCTCGACGTTGACGTCGATGACGTTGTGCTAAAACTAGCCCAACGTATGACCATATTGTCGCAGCCGATTCTGTGGTTCCTTGAGAGGTCTGTGCAGTAACAGTTGCTGTGAGGAACGGATTGCGTAAATGTGACGTCACAATGAAACCGTCTGGAGCTGGTGTTGTCACACGTGGACGTCTACGTCTCGGACGACCAGTGGCTACTCCAGCTGCATTGTAACGCCTCCTCGGACGTTGTACTGACCTCATGGACGCACCAACTAGTCTGCATGCGTGCAACATTCCGATGGCTCTGTCAAAATTCTTGGATAATTCTCAATTTACTGTGCGGGTTTGATACCCGACCACGCTTGTCTTATCTTTCAACTACGTTACTGCAGAGAAAAAAATAGAAATATAGTTCAATTAAATCATTTTAGAAATCAGACGTTTTTTGGTTTGGTTCTATGTATAATTAAACATATTTACTACTGGTGTTCAGGAAGAAGCCTTACTTGAAACACAAGAAGTTGAGCCAATATTTCTTAGCTTGACAAGAATATATGAATATGTCACGTGTGTCCACATAACAATGCACATAATCAACTGATAAATAAGTATATAAATAAACAAGATGTTTGACCTCCATTCGGCCTGTCTAGATAACATTGCACTTCCGATAAAGACAAATCCAATACGCATACTAGTATTCTAAGACAATATTAATAATGGATTTATTTTTCTTTCACATAATTCACACACAAAACGGAGTTTAATCATGAGATCCACTTGTGTCCCATGTATTTTATGGTCGGTGGATTTGGAAACACTTGGCGAACAAGTTTCAATACACAATCTGGCATCACTTCCCATCTCATCCCACATGTGCTCGATTGGTGAGAGATCAGGGGAGCGAGCCGTCCAGGGGATGACATTCACGTTGTTCTGTTGAAGAGAATCCTGAACAAGTCGAGCAATATGAGGCCGGGCGTTGTCATGTTGAAAGGTAATGCCTTGGCCATGACGACGCAAAAACGGTAGAACAACAGGGCTGAGGATCTCGTCGCAATAGCGCTGACCGTTGAGATTTCCCTCTACCACTTAAACGGGTCCTCTGTCTTGCTGTAATCCCTACCCATACCATAACGCTGCCGCCCCCGAAACGATCTTCTTCCATGACACAATGATGGACGTAACGTTCACTTCGACGTCGGTACACTCGAATCCGTCCATCGCTGTGGCTGAGGTGAAAACGAGACTCGTCAGCTTGGTGTGTTGGCTAATTTAGATTAATTCATTATCCTAGCTTACATGTAGCTTCAAGCTGGCAACGTGAGTTCGTTCCTACACGCGGCGCTAATTGAAATCCGACAAAGTGCCCCCCGTAAAGTGCATTACTCCCTCACTCAAATAGATGCGTGTTGAATAATGTGACAATGTGATGGTGTTATTGTCAGTGGATGGGAAATCCCCGCGACGTTATAGGGAAACACATCACTATTTCTATCTCAAATAAAACGTCACTGGGAAACACATCACTATTTCTATCTCAAATAAAACGTCACTGGGAAACACAGCACTATTTCTATCTCAAATAAGACGTCACTGGGAAACACATCTCCAACACAAATCAGTTCTCCGTCAGTTACGATAGGTATCGTAGTTGTACGATCTGCGACAGGTTTATGATAGTTTCGAAAATCAATCTTATATCAAACTTACGATCTCTTCATCTTTGAACGTAAGTTGTTAAGATAGATCGTAGCCAAGATCGTTTCGAAAATCTAGACCCACCATCCGCCATCTTGCCTTGACACAGCCTACTCCTGAAGGTCCCGCATCGTTGAATTCCAACATTTCTTAACAAATATATAGGTCGAGATGTACACCAACGAAACAATTTAGATTTCCGAGGTGAACTAACATGGTTACACCGAAGTGGTAAACGTCTCAGACCTGCATCACTTCGGGCTTTCCTCCCACATTAAGCTGATACGCCGTGATATAGGACACAGGCTGGACGCAGTCGTAAGCATAAACGATCACACAAATATATATCTCTAATAATATACAGTAAACTACGGTTATAAAGAACACGCTTATAACGAACTGACGGATATAACGAACCCACTTTTTGGTCCCGACTACTTGCTGTAGTCATGCTGTATATGTACTTATAACGAACTAGAATTAGAAGTCCCGTTGAGTTCGTTATAACCGTAGTTTACTGTAGTTATCCTTGACTTTGATAGTACCTGGCAGTTAGTTTCATTGTGGGTGGTTAGATGTTGTCGACAGACCCGCACAGCCTCCTGTGTTATTAGGGTGAGGTGAAATGGGGCTTATCGTCGCGTCCTAGATTATTACACTTATATAGCGACGTGCATGTACGTGTGTGTGTGTGTGTGGCTGCTTGTACTAGTCCGGGCTGATTCCGATTTATAGTGCTAGCCCACTGAGATACCATGCCGCAGTTTAACATGAATACCCCACTCAGACACAGTATACTGACTCCGAGCCGACCAGTCCTTGTTTTAGCCCATTAATGCCGAGCGCCAGACAGGGTAAAAACAAGTACCATCTCTTAACGTCTTTTGGTATGACGCGGCCGGGGATCGAACCCCGGACCTTCCGCTCTCCAGGCGGACCCTCTACCACAAGACCACGGAGGCGGTCTTGTGTTATTAAGAGCTAATATTAGGTAACTAACGGCATCTACATAAGGCCTGGGTCTCGATATATACGGAGTCCAGTGGCAGATACTTCACTCTGCCACGAGTACAGACTTAAAGGGACTCAGCAGCCTTCTCTCTGTTTTAAGGTGATAGCCAAGTAATCAGCTCTACCAAATTAATTGTGACGTACGTAGCAAACGGGACCATGCCAACACAGGCAAAATTATAT